TTAACATTCAATGAAACCTTAACATTTGCTCACTCGCTAGTCTCGCTAGTCTTTCTAATTGTTCACACAGTCGTGTCTGGATACGCTAATACATTATGCTCGTTAATTATCCGACTAATCTGTCATTCCGACAGCTCCTCGTGTCATATTATATATTCAGACACGATAGAGACGATTAGAAGGGCCGGTGAATTTCGGTTCAGTCAATGTTAAGGTTTTATTGAAGCTCAATGCTGGCGATCATTCTTACGCGATCATTCCTACGTACGTGTCCGTTATGTAAGTAATGTATACATGTTTAGTCGACAATTCACCGTACCTTCCCTCTTTATCCTGAAACAAAATTCCTGACTGTATTCGTGAGATATCTAATAACGTCATTTAATCTATCCAATCGTGCCTTATTCTTTATATCTTATCCTTACAACTGATGGCTTCACACGTATGTGTATGTATGCGTGTATGTGTGTGTGTGTGTGCGCGCAAAAGACTCGACTGGATCTTCGCTCGACTACCAAGTATGCCAGCTCGTTAGGATGTCGCTTTGTCGGATCGTTTATGCGTGCAAACTTGCGCAGATTCCGCACCGATGCTCGTCCGGCGCGCTAGATAGCGCGAATCGATCGAAACGAGCATCGATGATTTATGGCGATATACCTCGAGAGTAATATAATTGCGCGTAATAAAAGTTAAACAAGCTAGCCCCGCGGCCATCAACCGTGCATTTTACGTAAAAGACTCGTCTCAAGTAAACGTTACGTAACGACAGCTCAAACGAATCAAATTGTAGTCGAATCGAAATGAATCATTTTCCCCGCAAACGGAAGCATCACGGAGGAGCATTGCGTCCAACGTAATACATGAGCGAGACGGAACCAACGTCGATCGTTAGTCAATCACTTACTCGTAATGTTGCAATTTTGTTGGAGAAATAGGAGTAACAAAATCGAAGTGACAAAGAGAAAGACACTCAATCGATACGAACGACACAACCCCCCTCTCGTCGTACTCTCGGGGACGAGGCCGTTCCAAGTCCTGAGCGCGCGTTCTAAATCATCGAGCGTTGTTTTAAGAAAATCTGACTAAGTCTCACGGGTAAGAGATATAATTTACCGCAGAGAGGCGTGATCCTCAGATTATACACGGTGGATACCAGGCGCGCACGCTTTTCTCTCTTCCCGCGTTCCACGAAGGGAGGGAGCCTTTAATCGGAGCGAGAGAACGCCGGGTCCCCATTATTTTCTCGGTCAACCTAACAAAGTCGATATAACGACGGGAAAAAAAAAGAAGAATTAGCGAGCTAACAATTGCCGGATCGCAATCCTGGTCGCAACACGACCGACCGACCGACCCATCGACCGACCAACACTATATCGTGTACGGAGAAAAAAGATATGGCGCAGGTAACCAGAGATATTTAGTTGTGAGCAATATAGTCTCACCCCAGTGATCTCTGGCAATGTGTACGGTTAATATGATACTCTGTTACTTTGGCGCATCAAATTTGTACGCGGAAAGCAAGGTGTTAGTTGTGGCAGCGAGAATCTGTGTAGCTAAATCTTATTGTAACATATGGACACTTGAAAGTATAGCTGCCAGTAGCTAGCCGAGTCGAAATTTTGATCCTACTCTGTCGACCTCAGTATTTCATTTAACGCATACTTTGATACTTCAAAGTCTGTATCAACCTTTGTTGATCCTATTTACTAGCTTTGCCGAGAGGTCCCTTTCAAAACTTACAAGTGGCATTTCGTTTTCTGTCATCTACAGACGCTCAGTAGAATTTCAGTTTTCATGTGTATCGCACATACAATTTGATCCTTCAGAATATACATATGTTGGAAAAGTCAGGTTCAAAGTGGAGTTTAAATTTCGATGTACTGAGGAAAGTAGTTGAGTCGACAATATTAGTCGCCTTCAGAGAACCATCTATTGAACGAATTACTTGTTAGTGCAACGATAAGTTGGGTTGATATAGTTACTAACCAAATCGAATCAATTGGTAACTCATCGCTGCAACTATACAATTCGTTCAATCGACTAAATGAATTTCCTTCGCTCAACTGGAGTGTCGTTAACTCAATCGCTCTTTTCTCTCAATGTATATATTTAGCTATGAAACAAGTGCAGTACTCTCTCAAAGTGAATCAGTGAATAGTTACTGATATACAGTTATAAGTATAGCACTGAACACTTTCAGTGCAATACTTATAATTGCAAATCAGCGTATATTCACTGTTTTCAGTGATGTTTCACTGATTCATTGAGTAGCAACAGTAACGGAAGTTTCAGTTACAGCAGCAAATGCATTTTCAGCAAATCATGATTAACTGCGCGGCGGTGAAACCTTTTTTTTCCCAATATAGTCAATATAGTTGCGTGTGATCTGTTTGTGGCAACGAGAGATCCGTTGGGATGACACTTATCATCACCTAAGAAAATGGTCTTGTAGTCACATAGCGAGAATTACTTAAGTACAAGGAATTCGCTAAGATGACTAGCAAACACTGCGATATCGCATATGTTTTGCGTTTAATTAATGTAGATGACATCGACAAATTTTCTATCTGATTTGCGAAATTCAACAAGAAAGTCTCTCTGTGACGCCCAACCAGATTAAGGCCAGTCACACTTCTTCTGAAAGTGGCTACGATAGATAAAAAAAGACACGCCAAAAGAAACAAACGAACGTATAATCCTTGCATCCGTCTAAATTTGCTTGCAGATATCGCTAGAATGTTACCGCTGTTGCAAATTCCATCTTATTATCGCAGGCAATTTCTTAGTAGATACAAAAAACAGCGATAAATTTTAACCGCGACATTTAGAATTCTAGCTGAACCAGCAAAACATTTTTTTGAATGATGGATACATTCTGGTTTGCAGCAATCAGATATCGTCGACGTAGCTCGGCGATTGCTCTGCGTTTGCAGCAAAATCGTATAATTAGTTGTTCCGTATTTTACTACTGAGCATATCTAGTTGGCACCAGCAGATTTATGCATGGGTCGACCGTACTGTTTTCTTCGTGCGTCGTGAACTTTTTCGCTGCAACGTGCGTGACGCACTGCTGCTTTGCGCGTCGTCGCTCGCACAGTTCATTTGCGATTGTCCGTCAAATCCAGATTCAAGTGCGACGGCGAGATGGAAGAAGAACGTGCCGCGGTACTTTCAATTTAATTTCCACCGGCCGGTGGAGCTGCGAGTTTCGTGCAGATGCAAATTCAGAGGCGACAACGCGGCAAGTTGGCGCAATCAAATTTTTCCTTGGCGGAAATCCGATAGGAGACCGGCAGAACGTTGTTCAAGTAATCGCTACTTTGTGTTGGCGAGAGAGAGAGAGAGAGAGAGAGAGAGTGTGCGTGTGTGTGTGTGCGTGTATGTGTGGGTGGGCGATAACCACTACCATTTTCAAATTCCGCGACAGATTTGATTTTTACAAGAAACTAAAATATTTGTTGGTTAATTTACCAGCAAAAACCCGAATTAGATGATGGTTTATTCGGCTAGCATGGTTCTCACTTCGAGACGCGCGTCTCTCTCTCTCTCTTTCTCTCTCTTTCGTACTTTGAAATCGCTTCAGCGAATCGTCGGAGCCGCACCACGATGAATTTTCATATTTCGCATTCCGTTCCGTCACGACCGACGGAGTTAAGGCCGAATTACGCAATACTCATTGCATGTTTAAACTGTTGTAAATTAGATGAAAGAAGCACTATTGCTCCGTCAATATAAACAATGTAACGCTACGTGAACGCTCTTGTGAGCCGGGCGGCGGCTGTTCTTATCAGCGGTGAATACAGTCCCAAACGCGAGGATGATTAATCGGTATCGACGAGGTAGATAATAATCGTCCTCATCTACGATGCTCCTAATCGAGCGGAAATCTGATTAATCGCGATCGCTCTGCGCGAGCCGTTCTAAGTAACTTTCACACGATCGAAAGTAAAACCGGATGATATATAAAACGCGCCCCACTCCCTTGTGCTTTCGTCAATCGCGCGGGGATTTCAATCTGGGAACGTCCGATCGAGATGAATGGAACCCAACTCGGGACGATTATGGAATTACGGATGCTCTGAATAAGACAGATGCAGATATCGAGTTAAGAGCGCACCGCAAAAATTCAATTAGAGGCACGACAGTGACGTTCCTCTCTCTCTCTCTCTCTCTCTCTCTCTCTCTCTCTCTCCCCCCCCCCCC